GTCTACAACATTCAACTTCTCTTTATCTTTCTTTGTCTCCATGACTTTTCCTATATAAAAAAAGATATGATTCTAAGGATCATCTATTCAGCGCGATTCATCCAACGTTACTTCAAGGTATGCTTGATTAAACTATATATTATGTTGTCATAATTATCTGTCTTTTTGTTGTTATTGTTGTTTAACTCCACAATTCTCTACAGGGTACTTCTTCTTCATTCTCGTTCCGAAGGTGTTTTCCTTCAGGTTGGCAAATTCTTATCGTTACGAGCATAATCACTCTCATCTCAGAGAAAACGATTCTCGACCATAAGAATTTCTGGGCAACATTTCCTCTCCATTTCGCCATTGGTTTCCTCTGCTTTTGTCTTGCAGCCATTGTCATGTAAGTCATCTCCTATAACAACCAAAAAATCGATTCCAGTAAACCGACATTTTATGGCTTATTTTGGTTCTAATAAAAAAATGTTCATCCAACAACGGATTTATGCGCGAATTGTGTAATATACTTTCTAAAATTTATGTTGTTTATGCGCGAATTGTGACCATATTTTTTAAAATCTTGTGTTTGTGTTTCTTTGTAGATACCGGCGTGAGAGGCTGTTCATTATTAGAATCATACGGTTTAGGGATCACAATCACGAAGAGTGAATAAACCAACAAATTTCTGGTTTATATACGGTTTATGATGGTCCCGTTTGCAAGATATTTTTTTGCGCCAGGAAGAGAATGTGAATTTTTTGTATTTTTCGAGTTTCTTAAAAATAAATTTTTACACCAAATGTTTTTTGTAATGGCTAGTTATATATTTATTTCATAGGTAAAAAATGACATTCTGTGATTAAAATCGCATAAAATTTAGCTAGAAGGATAACACTGTCGCTGAGTTTACATTATAGAAAAAATTGAACCTCTAAACTAATTTACACTAGAGATATCAATTATTTTCTAAAAATTGTAATAATATCTATTTGGATATCATATCCGATTGATCATACAA